TGCAGAAAAGTTTCATGAGAATTTTTTGTAGAAAAAGCCCAATCAGGGCAGGACGCAGTGGCTCATGGCTGTAATCCCAGAACTTTGGGAGGCCGAGGCAGGTGGATCAGCTGAGGTCAGGAGTTCGAGCCCAACCTGGCCAATATGGTGAAACCCTGACTCTACTAAAAATACAAAAATTAGGCCGGGCGCGGTGGCTTAAGCCTGTAATCCCAGCACTTTGGGAGGCCGAGACGGGTGGATCACGAGGTCAGGAGATCGAGACCATCCTGGCTAACATGGTGAAACCCTGTCTCTACAAAAAAAATACAAAAAACTAGCCGGGCGAGGTGGCGGGCGCCTGTAGTCCTAGCTACTCGGGAGGCTGAGGCAGGAGAATGGCGTAAACCTGGGAGGCGGAGCTTGCAGTGAGCTGAGATCTGGCCACTGCACTCCAGCCTGGGCGACAGAGCGAGACTCCATCTCAAAAAAAAAAAAAAAAACCAAACAAAAATTAGGCAGGTGTGGTGGCGTGCTCCTGTAATCCCAGCTACCCAGGAGGCTGAGGCAGGAAAATCTACTCGGGAGGCTGAGGCAGGAAAATCGCTTGAACCCGAGAGGTGGAGGTTGCAGTGAGCTGAGATGGTGCCACTGCACTCCAGCCTCGGTGACAGAGCAATACTCCGTCTCAAAAAAAATAAAAAATAAAAAGCCCAATCAATCAGGCCAGGTGCAGTGGTGCTCCCCTGTAGTCCCAGCTATTTGGGAAGCTGAGACAGGAAGATTACTTGAGGCAAGGAGTTCAAGGTTACAGTATGATCACCCCTGTGAATAACTGCTGCACGCTAGCCTGGGCAAAACAGCCTTTAGCAAAAACTGTTGCTAAAAAAAAAAGAAAAAAAAACCTGGGCGTTATAGCTCAAGCATGTAATCCCAGCACTTCGGGAGGCTGAGGTGGGAGGACTACTTGAGCCCAGGAGTTCAAGACCAGCCTGTACAACACAGGAAGATCCCATCTTTACTTCCTGCTGACAGGTCAAAAATTAAAAACAATTAAAAAATTAAAGACAGCCATTTGTCTCTACAAAAATGAGCACAAACTTGGAGTCCCAGCTATTCAGGAGGCTGAGGTGGCAGGATCACTTGAGTCCAGGAGATTGAGGCTACAGTGAGCCCTAATTGCATCGCTTTACTCCAGCCTGGGTGACAGAGTGAGACCCTGTCTCCAAAAGAAAGAAAAATTTTAAAATCTCAAACATTTAGAAGGAAGCTTAAATAGAAAATATTGTCTTGAGGCTGGGCGCGGTGGCACATGCCTGTAATCCCAGGACTTTGGGAGGCCGAGGCGAGTGGATCACAAGGTCAGGAGTTTGAGACCAGCCTGGCCAACATAGTGAAACCCCATCTCTACTAAGAACATAAAAATTAACTGGGCATGGCAACAGGCACCTGTAATTCTAGCTACATGGGAGGCTGAGGCCAGAGAATCGCTTGAACCTGGGAGGCAGAGGTTGCAGTGAGCCAAGATCATGCCACTGCACCCCAGCCTGGGCAACAAGAAAAAAACTCTGTCGCAAAAAAAAAAAAAAAAAAAAAAAAAAGGCTGGGCGTGGTGGCTCACGCCTGTAATCCCAACACTTTGGGAGGCTGAGGAGGGCAGATCACGAAGTCAGGAGACCATCCTGGCTAACGCGGTGAAACCCCGTCTCTACTAAAAATACAAAAATTAGCCGGGCGTGGTGGCAGGCGCCTTTAGTCCCAGCTACTCCTGAGGATGAGGCAGGAGAATGGCATGAACCTGGGAGGCGGAGCTTGCAGTGAGCCCAGATCTCGCCACTGCACTCCAGCCTGGGCAACAGAGCAAGACTCCGTCTCAAAAGAAGAAGAAGAAGAAGAAGAAAAGGCCAGGTGCAGTGACTCACGCCTGTAATGCCAGCACTTTGGGAGGCCAAGGCGGCCAGATCACCTGAGGTTGGGAGTTCGAGACCAGCCAGACCAACATGGAGAAACCCCATCTCTACTAAAAATACAAAATTAGCCGGGCCTGGTGGCACATGCCTGTAATCCTAGCTACTCAGAAGGCTGAGTAGGAGAATCGCTTGAACCTGGAGGCAGAGGTTACAGTGAGCCGAGATCATGCCATTGCACTCCAGCCTGGGCAACAAGAGGGAAACTCTGTCTCAAAAAAAAAAAAGGCCGGGCGCGGTGGCTCAAACCTGTAATCCCAGCACTTTGGAGGCCGAGGCCGGCAGATCACGAAATCAGGAGGTCCAGACCATACTGGCTAACACAGTGACACCCCATCTCTACTGAAAATAGAAAAAATTAGCTGGGCGTGGTGACGGGGGCCTGTAGTCCCAGCTACTTGGGAGGCTGAGGCAGGAGAATTGCTTGAACCCAGGAGGCGGAGGTTGCACTGAGCTGAGATTGTGCCACTGCACTCCAGCCTGGGTGACAGAGAGATACTGCATCTCAAAAAAAAAAAAAAAGAAAGAAAAGCGGACTGGGCGCAGTGCCTCACCCTGTAATCCCAGCACTTTGCGAAGCCAAGGCAGGAGGATCCTTTGAGTTTAGGAGTTTGAGACCAACCTGCACAACACAGCAAGACCCTGTCTCTACAAAAAAATACAGAAATTAGCCAGGTGTGGTGATGTCCGCCTATAGTCCCAGCTCTTCTGGAGGCTGAGGTGGGAGGATTACTTGAGTCCGAGAGGCAGAGGTTGCACTGAGCCAAAATCGAGCCACTACACTCCATCCAGGGCAACCTATGGAGACCCTGTCTCGAACAAACAAACAAAAAATTGCTCAGTACCTGGCCAAAAAAGAAGAGGCTCACTATTCAGAGGGAAAGAGGAAGGAGATGGTTGGACTTCTAAACTCAATAGAGCAGGAGAGGCAAATGTAGAATGTGCTCAGGAAATATCTGTGAGATGAATGAACGTGAGGGAAGTAAGGTACTAGATATTGCCCTACCCAGAACAAATCCTGTTCAGCATTTCCTTGAAAAGTGAGAAGTCTGGAAGGGGTGGATACTGATAGAGTGAAGCAACTAATTCAATTCTACAACTTGACAGCCACACCTGTGCCAGGCTGTCTACAAGGATATTTAGAATGAGTAAGACATTCCTTCAAGGAACTCCAGGAACACAGGCCTAACATGTTGCAATGTTTAGTGTCAAGCAGTGCACTAGAGACACATTATCACACTCAAACTTCACAACAATTCTCTAAGGTAGGAATTATCACTCCCCTTTCATAGATGAAACAGAGGCTTAGAGTGCTTGATTTATTGAAGGTCAAACAGCCAGTAAATGGTGTAGCCAGGATTCCAACCTTGCCATCTCACTAAGACTGTACTTAATTACTGGAGGGACCGGGTGTGGTGGCTCATGCTGTAATTCCAGCACCTTAGGAGGCTGAGGCTGGTGGATCACCTGAGGTCAGGAATTCGAGACCAGCCTGGCCAACATGATGAAACCCCATCTCTACTAAAAATACAAAAATTAGCTGGGCATGGTGGTGGGATCCTGTAATCCCAGCTACTCAGGAGGCTGAGGCAGGGCAATTGCTTGAATCAGGGAGGTGGAGGTTGCAGTGAGCCGAGATCACACTGCACTCCAGCCTGGGCAACAGGACAAGACTCGGTCTCAAAACCAAAAAAAAAAAAAGAAAAATTACTGGAGGAACCTAAAAGAAGAAATGATCAATTTTGCTTGGGGTGTATCTAGAAAGATTTCACTGAGGTCATTTAAAGAACAAAAAAGATGGCTGGGGTCCAGCACGGTGGCTCATGCCTGTAATCCTAGCACTTTCGAATACCAGGGCAGGCAGATCACCTGCGGTCCAGAGTTCGAGCCTGGTCAACATAGCGAAACCCCATCTCTACTAAAAATAAAAAAATTAGCTGAGCGTGGTGGCAGGCACCTGTAATCCCAGCTACTTGGGAGGCTGAGGCAGGAGAATCACTCGAACCCAGGAGGTGGAGGTTGCAGTGAGCCGAGATCATGCCACTGCACTCCAGCCTGGGCAACAAAGCGAGACTCTGCCTCAAAAAACAACAACAACAAAAAAATACAAACAGCAGACAAGTAGTTCCCAGGTGCCTACCAAGTGGTCAGGCACTGCACTTACCTCACTGACTGCAGTAACCACCCTTTGAGGTGGTGGCATTGCCTCCATTTTCCAGGCAAGGAAATAGACTGAGAGCTGGGGTTAGTCAGGTCATGACTGTGTGTGCCACTCCCGCTAAATCTCATTTGATGTGGTTCGTGAGGCCACAGCACGACAACTTCCTCCTTGTGTCCACTGAGGATACGGCTTTGTACAACACTTTCTGGTTTCTGAACTACTTACAAACCTCCCTGTCCTGTGAGAAAGGAAGAACAGTTATTACCATCTGCATCTGATGATGAAACAAAGGACGCTGCAGAGGAGCCACACTAACCACTCCTTCCCTCCAGTCCTGTCATCCCACTGCCGGTGTCCCACCCTCCTTGCACCCTGCACTTGACCGGCTAATAAGCCCCCTCACTTTTTCCTCTGTGAAGCCACCCTAGATAATTCCCCACCCACGAATGGTCCCTCCTCATCTCAGAGAGCTCTCCATGCACACCTGTTACCGTTTCTGTCTTTATCTGTAAATATCTGTGTGTCTGACTTCCATGCCTCACACGCCTCTATAGGGCAAAGACTGTGTCTTAAACATCTCGGTATTGTCAGTATTTTGCACAGTGAAGTTTTTTTTTTTTTTTTTTTTTTTTTTTTTTTTTAAATCATATCAGCTTTATTTGTACCTTTTCTGACATTTCTATCAAAAAAGCAGTGTGCCTGCTGTAGTTCCCATTCTCTGGGATTTAGAAGCCTCTACCTCATTCTCCACCCAAATCTGTCTTCTGTGTTCTAGGCTCTTCCTAAAGTTGTCACCCATACATGCCCTCCAGAGTTTTATAGCGCATATAATCTGTAACACATGGGAGGAAGCCAATTGCCCTTTAGAAATATGCCTGCAATTGCCTCACTTCCTGTGTCATGTGACTCTCCCAGTCATCACATGACCCATCCATGTCAGGAAGCCGGAATTACTTGCAGGGCTAACCTAGTGCCTATAGCTACGGCAGGTACCTGCATCCTTGTTTTTGTTTAGTGGATCCTCTATCCTTGAGAGACTCTGGACCCCTGTGGTCTTCTCCTCATCCAATGACCCTGAGGTGATGGAGTTTTCCAGAAAGGTAAGAGAGAGCTCCCAATCAGCATTGTCACAGTGCTTCTGGAATCCTGGCACTGGAATTCAGTGAATGACAGACTCTCTTTGAATCCAGGGCCATCATGGCTCTTTGAGCAAGGCACAGATGGAGGGAGGGGTCGAAGTTGAAATGGGTGGGAAGAGTGGTGGGGAGCGTCCTGATTTGGGGTGGGCAGAGAGTTGTCATCAGAAAGGTTGCAGGGAGAGCTGCACCCAGGTGTCTGTGGGCCTTGTCCTAATGAATGTGGGAGACTAGGCCATGGGCAGCCAAAGGCAGCTAAACTCTGCCCAGGAGAGTAGTTGAGGGGAGGAGAGGGGCTTGCTTTTCAGCCACTCCTCATTCTGTCCTCAGGAATGTCCCAAGCCTTCGGGTAGGGTAAGCATCATGGCCGCCAGCCTCACAGGATTGCTTCTACTTCAGGCAGTGTCATGGGCATCAGGTAAGTGAGTCAAGGCGGTGGCGAGGTAGCACAGAGGCTCCCTTCTGCCTCGTAGTCCTTTGGTAGCCTTCCAGTACTCTGGTGGTAGACTTTTAATAGGTGCTCAATAAATCCTTTTGAGTGACTGAGACCAACTTCGGGGTGAGGATTTTGTTTTTTTTTTTTTCTTTTGAGACAGAGTCTTACTCTGTTGCCTGGGCTGGAGTGCAGTGGTGTGATCTTGGCTCATTCCAACCTCTACCTCCCAGGTTCAAGCGATTCTCTTGTTTCAGCCTCCTGAGTAGCTGGGATTACAGGTGGCCACCACCATGCCCTGCTAATTTTTGTATTTTTAGTAGAGATGGGGTTTCACCATACTGGCAAGGCAGGTCTCAAACTCCTGACCTCAGGTGATCCGCCCACCTCGGCCTCCTGAAGTGCTGAGATTATAGGTGTGAACACCTGCCCTGGCCAAGGGGTGAGGAATTTGAAACCGTATTCAGTCTGTCCTAGTGGATGTGTCCATTCTCCACGTCTTCATCAGACCTCACCTCTGCTTGTACTCCCTCCTTCCCAGGTGCCCGCCCCTGCATCCCTAAAAGCTTCGGCTACAGCTCGGTGGTCTGTGTCTGCAATGCCACATACTGTGACTCTCTTGAGCCCCTGACCTTTCCTGCCCTCGGTACCTTCAGCCGCTATGAGAGTACACGCAGTGGGCGACGGATGGAGCTGAGTACGGGGACCATCCAGGCTAATCGCACAGGCACAGGTAACCATTACACCCCTCACGCCCTGGGCCAGGCTGGGTCCTCCTAGAGGTAAATGGTGTCAGTGATCACCATGGAGTTTCCCCCCTGGGCACTGACACCCTTATTCCCTGTGCATGTCCTCAGGCCTGCTACTGACCCTGCAGCCAGAACAGAAGTTCCAGAAAGTGAAGGGATTTGGAGGGGCCATGACAGACGCTGCTGCCCTCAACATCCTTGCCCTGTCACCCCCTGCCCAAAATTTGCTACTTAAATCGTACTTCTCTGAAGAAGGTGAGGAGGAAGGGGACAAGGTGACATAGCGCCATTGACACTTTTTGTTTTTTTATTTTTTAATTTTTTTGAGACAGAATCTCACTCTGCTCACTCTGTCGCCAAGACAGGAGTGCAGACGGCATGATCTCCACCCACAGCAACCTCTGCCTATAGTGATTCTCCTGCCTCAGCTTCCTGAGTAGCTGGAATTATAGGCATGCGCCACTACCACCTGGCTAATTTTTGTATTTTTAGTAGAGACAGGGTTTCATCATGTTGACCAGGCTAGGCTTAAACTCCTGACCTCAAATGATCCACCTGCCTTGGCCTCCCAAAATGCTGGGATTACAGGTGTCAGCCACCAAGCTCAGCCAACAAGTTTCTCTTTTTTTTTTGAGAAAGAATCTCGCACTGTCGCCCAGGCTGGAGTTCAGTGGCACAATCTCGGCTCACTGCAACCTCCACCTCCTGGGTTCAAGTGATTCTCCTGTCTCAGCCTCCCGAGTACCTGGGATTATAGGTGCCTGCCACCATGCCCGGCTCATTTTTTGTATTTTTAGTAGAGGCGGGGTTTCACTATGTTGGCCAGGATGATAGCAAGCTCCTGACCTTGTGATCTGCCTGCCTCAGCCTCCCAAAGTGCTAGGATTACAGGCATGAGCCGCCAACACTTTTCTTTGCCCTTTCTTTGGACCCTGATTTCTGCCCATCCCTGACATTTGGTTCCTGTTTTAATGCCCTCTGAGATAAGATTTCCCTGCTTATCATCTGCTAACTATTATGGACTCAGGCTCAGAAAGGCCTCTGCTTCACTCAGGTGCCAACCTCCACAGGTTCCAACCCAGGAGCCCAAGTTCCCTTTGGCCCTGACTCAGACACTATTAGGACTGACAAGTGATAAGCAGAGTCCCATACTCTCCTATTGACTCAGACTACCGTATCTTGATCATCCTTTTCTGTAGGAATCGGATATAACATCATCCGTGTACCCATGGCCAGCTGTGACTTCTCCATCCGCACCTACACCTATGCAGATACCCCTGATGATTTCCAGTTGCACAACTTCAGCCTCCCAGAGGAAGACACCAAGCTCAAGGTAGGCATTCTAGCTTTTTCAGGCCCTGATGGCCCTGATGTCTGGGGGTTGAGAAGCTGTAGGGTAGGTCTGCTTGTAGAGACATTTTGTCCCCTGCTATTTTGTCCCGGGGGTGGGAGGGTGGGGGCTGATGGCTGAACCGGATGCACTGGTTGGGCTAGTATGTGTTCCAACTCTGGGTGCTTCTCTCTTCACTACCTTTGTCTTTAGATACCCCTGATTCACCGAGCCCTGCAATTGGCCCAGCATCCCGTTTCACTCCTTGCCAGCCCCTGGACATCACCCACTTGGCTCAAGACCAATGGAGCGGTGAATGGGAAGGGGTCACTCAAGGGACAGCCCGGAGACATCTACCACCAGACCTGGGCCAGATACTTTGTGAAGTAAGGGATCAGCAAGGCTGTAGGATCAGGACTGGCCTCCCCTTTGGTCATGCTGATCTGTGTCCCAACCCTCAACCTCGTTCCACTTCCAGATCTGCCTCTCCTCAGCTCACCTTTCTACCTTCTGGGCCTTTCAGATTTGGGCCTGTCAATCTTGCCCACTCCATCAGGCTTCCTGTTCTCTCGGTCTGGCCCACTTTCTTTTTCTTCTTTTTTTTTTTTTTTTTGAGGAGTCTCTCTGTCACCCAGGCTGGAGTGCCGTAGCGCCATCCTCACTCACTGTAACCTCTGCCTCTCGAGTTCAAGCTATTCTCCTGCCTCAGCCTTCCAAGTAGCTGGGATTACAGGCGCCTGCCACCATGCCCAGCTAATTTTTCTGTTTTAGAAGAGACGGGGTTTCCCCAGGTTGGGCAGGCTGTTCTCTAATTCCTGACCTCAAGTGATCTACCTGCCTCGGCCTCCCAAAGTGCTGGGATTACAGGCGTGAGCCAACACACCCAGCTGGTCTGCTCCACCTTCTTGGCTAGATCACTCATGACCTTTCTCTTGCCAGGTTCCTGGATGCCTATGCCGAGCACAAGTTACAGTTCTGGGCAGTGACAGCTGAAAATGAGCCTTCTGCTGGGCTATTGAGTGGATACCCCTTCCAGTGCCTGGGCTTCACCCCTGAACATCAGCGAGACTTTATTGCCCGTGACCTAGGTCCTACCCTCGCCAACAGTACTCACCACAATGTCCGCCTGCTCATGCTAGATGACCAACGCTTGCTGCTGCCCCACTGGGCAAAGGTGGTAAGGCCCAGACCTGCATGGTGCTCCAGTGACCTTCAAATCTAGCCTCCAAATGACTGACTCCCAAACTTAGAGCAATTTCTCTACCCAACTGTGGATTCCTAGAGCACCATTCCCCTGGACCTCCAGGGCGCCATGGATCCCACAGTTGTCACTTTAAACCTTTCTAGGGGCCAGGCAAGGTGGCTCACTCATGTAACCCCAGCACTTTGGGAGGCCGAGGCGGGCGGATCACCTGAGGTCAGGAGTTTAAGACCAGTCTGGCCAACGTGTTGAAACCCTGTCTCTACTAAAATTAAAAAAAAAAAAAAAATTATCTGGGCATGATGGTGGGTGCCTGTAATCCCAGCTACTCGGGAGACTGAGAAGGGAGAATCAGTTGAACCTGGGAGATGGCAGTTGTGGTGAGATGAGATTGTGCCACTGTACTCCAGTCTGGGCGACTGAGACTCCATCTCAAAAAAAAAAACAAAAAAAACCTCTCTAGGCTCGGGGCGTTGGCTCATGTCTGTAATCTCAGCACTTTGGGAGGCCAAGGTGGGTGGATCACTTGAACCTAAGAAATTCAAGACCGGCCTGGGAAACATAGTGAAATCCCATCTCTACAAAAAAACCAAAAACTATATATGTATATACACACACACACACACACACACACACACACACACACACACAGAGATTAGCTGGGTGTGGCACCCATGTAGTCCCAGCTACTCAGGAGGCTAACGCGGGAGCATCAATTGACCCTAGGAAGTCAAGGCTGCAGTGAGCTGTGATTGTGCCACTGTACTCCAGCCTGAGTGACGGAGTGATATCCTGTCTCAAAAACAAAACAAAATATCTCCCCAAACCTCTCTAGTTGCATTCTTCCCATCACCCATTGCCAGAATTCCTACAAGAGGAATTGAAAGTTCCAGAAGCCTGTGTGCAAGGTCCAGGGTCACTTGCTCTTCCTTTGCAGGTACTGACAGACCCAGAGGCAGCTAAGTATGTTCATGGCATTGCTGTACATTGGTACCTGGACTTTCTGGCTCCAGCCAAAGCCACCCTAGGGGAGACACACCGCCTGTTCCCCAACACCATGCTCTTTGCCTCAGAGGCCTGTGTGGGCTCCAAGTTCTGGGAGCAGAGTGTGCGGCTAGGCTCCTGGGATCGAGGGATGCAGTACAGCCACAGCATCATCACGGTAAGCCACCCCAGTCTGCCTTCCTGCAAAGCACACCCCAGACCCCTTAGTAGTCTCACCAAAGACTGACAGACCTTTCCTGTCCAGCTTTGCCCAGCTAGCCTGCCCTTTTGGGCAACTGGGGAACCATGATTCCCTGTCTTGCCTTTCCTTCACAGGTCTGCACACCTCATTGCCCCTTTTTTTTTTTTTTTTGAGACAAAGTTTGGCTCTGTCGCCCAGGCTGGAGTGCAGTGGCACGATCTCGGCTCATTGCAAGCTCCGCCGCTTGGGTTCACGTCATTCTCCTGCCTCAGCCTCCCAAGTAGCTGGGACTACAGGTGCCTACCACCACGACTGGCTAATTTTTTTGTATTTTTAGTAGAGACGGGGTTTCACCGTGTTAGCCAGGATGGTCTCGATCTCCTGACCTTGTGATCTGCCCACCTCAGCCGCCCAAAGTGCTAGGATTACAGGCGTGAGCCACCACGCCCGGCTCATAGCCCCTTTTGCAAATACTGACGCACTTGCACTTGCCTCAGACTTCTCAGATCCCCTTGAGATGCCTCGATCTTCACACCCCCAACTCCTTAGCAGCTAAGTAATGTGCCCCTCACAGGGCTGAGCTACCCACAGCCACTTCTCCCTCATGTGACCCTTACCTACAGTCTCTGGGGACCCCCAGTGTTGAGCCTTTGTCTCTTTGCCTTTGTCCTTACCCTAGAACCTCCTGTACCATGTGGTTGGCTGGACCGACTGGAACCTCGCCCTGAACCCCGAAGGAGGACCCAATTGGGTGCGTAATTTTGTCGACAGTCCCATCATTGTAGACATCACCAAGGACACGTTTTACAAACAGCCCATGTTCTACCACCTTGGTCACTTCAGGTGAGTGGAGGGCGGGCACCCCCATTCCATATCAGGCTTATCATCTCCTACATCAGATGGCTTACATCACTCTACACCATGAGGGAGCAGGAAGGTGTTTAGGGTGGAACCTCGGGAGAGGCACACCCATCCCCTTTTGCACCATGGAGGCAGGAAGTGACTAGGTAGCAACAGACAACCCCAGTGCCTGAGGCTGGACTGCGATGTAGAAAAGCAGGGTCAGTGCCCAGCAGCATGGCTCCAGGTCTAGAGACCCAGGGCAGAGCTTCTGCAGGAGTTATGGGGTGGGTATGCGGGTGGGTGACTTCTTAGATGAAAGTTTCATGGGCGGTACCCCGAGGGACTCTGACCATCTGTTCCCACATTCAGCAAGTTCATTCCTGAGGGCTCCCAGAGAGTGGGGCTGGTTGCCAGTCAGAAGAACGACCTGGACACAGTGGCACTGATGCATCCCGATGGCTCTGCCGTTGTGGTCGTGCTAAACCGGTGAGGGCAACAGTGGGGTCTGGGAAGTGGGCTGAAGACAGGGTCGGGGGCCTTGGCAGGATCACACTCTTAGCTTCTCCTCCCCACTCCCTAGCTCCTCTAAGGATGTGCCTCTTACCATCAAGGATCCTGCCGTGGGCTTCCTGGAGACGATCTCACCTGGCTACTCCATTCACACCTACCTGTGGCGTCGGCAGTGATGGAGTGGATACTCAAGCTCAGCCTGGGCATTAAAAGGACAGAGTCAGCTCACACGCTGTCTGTGGCTAAAGAGGGCACAGCAGGGCCAGGGTGCGCTTACAGCGACATAAGCCCAAGGGCAGTGGTTTGGGTGATTCACTTTCCCCTCTAGGTATTGCCAGGGGCTAGAGGCCCCTAGAAAAAGACCAGTAAGCCCCAGTGTCCCCCCAGCCCCCATGCTTATGTGAACGTGCACTGTGTGCTGCTTGCTTTGGAAACTGGGCCTGGGCCCAGGCCTAGAGTGAGCTCACTGTCGTACAAACACAAGATGAGGGGTGAGGGTAAGGAAAAGAAGAGACTAGGAAAGCTAGGCCCAAAACTGGAGACTGTGTTTCCTGGAGATGCAGAACTGGGCCCATGGAGCAGCAGTGTCAGCATCAGGGCAGAAGCCTTAAAGCAGCAGCAGGTGTGCCCAGGCAGCCAGATGGTTCCTGTGGGACTAGCCAGGAAAAATGGCAGCTCTTAAAGGAGAAAATGTTTGAGCCCAGTCAGCGTGAGTGGCTTTATTCTGGGGGGCAGCACCCCGTGTCCGGCTGTACCAACAAAGAGGAGGCACGGGGGCCTCTGGAATGCACGAGAGTAGAAAAACCAGTCCTGGGAGCGTGAGGACAAATCATTCCTCTTCATCCTCCTCAGCCATGCCCAGGGCCCGGGTGCCTGGGGCCCGAGCAGGCGTTGCCCGCTGGATGGAGACAATGCCGCTGAGCAAGGCGTAGCCCACCATGGCTGCCAGTCCTGCCAGCACAGATAAGATCTGGTTCCGGCGCCGGTATGGCTCCTCCTCAGTCTCTGGGCCTGCTGGTGTCTGGCGTGGCGGTGGTACCTCAGCTGAGGGTCAAGGAAGGAAGGTGAGTTAGAGGAACTAGTTCTCAGATCCCTGCCCACTCTCCCCAGGGCTGCCCCTCCCATCTGCCCCTTACCTCCATCCCAGGGGAAGTAGAGACTGAGGATGTGGGTACAATAGGCACAGAGGTTGTGCAGCCCCCGCAGGTGGGCCTGCAGCTTCCCACTGGGCAGCTTTGCCTGCAGCAGCAGGGCCAAGTAGCTAAAGACGAAGGCGTCCAAGGAGGCAGGGCTGGAGCAGAGAGAGAAGGGTGGGATGGAGGAGAAGCACTGAGGCAGAAGGGGTAAAGATGGAGCTGGAGGAAGAGTCAGCCCTGGGAGGTGGGCTCTGGGCAGCAGGTGGCCATCAGGGAAGGACAGGACACACAGTTCTAGACCTGGTATTGGGAGAGATCCCCAGGTGGTGCCAGCTTGGCCCTGAATAGGACTCTATCCCAGGGCTGCATGAAGGGCACATTCAGTGCCCCACAGCTCTTCAGGCCCCTCCTGTGCCTGGCTGCCCTCCCCCTACCCTTTTGTACCTCTGAGAAGGCTCTGGCCCCACACACAGCCCCACTGGCAGCAGGACCAGTATCTATCCCAAGGACCTCCTGTCCAGAGCCTGACCCCACCCCAGCCCCAGCCCCAGCTGCTCCATCTGAACCTGTATCTTCTCCCAAGCACCCATTACCCTCTTGGAGTCAGACTCATGCATCTCCAAAGAAGACTTCTGAGAACCCAGGCACTGAGAGAGCAGGGTCAGACACTCCCAAGCCTCTCGGTACAGCTGTAGGGACGACACAGGTAGGCTTGCAGCTGCGGGAACAGTTCCACCTCCCCACCTAAGCACTCCCATTCCTGGCCAGCATCCTTGGGGCTCATCTCATACAACAGCCCCCGGTCTCAGAGCTACCTCCTTCTCCAGCTCTTCCTCGTCCTCAGGCATGTGCTCCCCACTCAGCAGCTCTAGCCGTTCCATGTACTGCCGCTGCATGCGGCCAGGCAGGAAGAAGTTGAGGGGAAAGGGCATAGCCTCTGCATACCACTTCCGGGTCACTTCCACATAGTTCTTGGTGTCTATCCAGAAAGTATGTACCTGGATTGGGTAGGCAGGAAGAAACAGGCAGGTCTGAGCCAGTGTACCTGTCTGATTCAGGGTGGGCTTCTGACCCCCATGCTGTCCTGAGTCTCTGTGTGGGTCTATGTGTGCCCGACCCCTCCCCTGCTAACCATGGATGCTGGGGGGTCTGGGCACACTCACCAGCACCGGGAGCAACTTCTCCTCCAGGAGAGACATGAAGGCCAGGGTGTCTGCCCCTTGCCGAGCTGACAGATCATAATCAGCATTGTACTTCTGTGGAGGAAATATCCATGGTGTGGACACTGAGGAGCTGCAGGGGCACTTCACCAGGGAGGAAGGAGTCCTGTCTGGTACCCCCCTCACTGGCCTGAGTGTAGTGGAGGTAGAGCAAGGAACTTTTCCTAGCAAGGCTCCCTTGCCTGGGCCCAGCCAGTAGCCTGTTGCTGTTGGCAAAAAAGCTGGGCCTTGGAGGCGCAGGACCCACTGGCCGTCAAGGTCCTGCGCCCATTGAGGACACGGAAGAAAGGTGGGGCTCCAAACTAGGAGCAGCTCCCAGAATTTCCATGGAAAGCTGGAAGGACGCCTGCTGACGGCAGCTTTCTAACGGTAACTTCCCCGACCCAGACACCACAAAACTAGCACAGCGGAGCTCAGATGCAGGCTGGGACTTGGTCCATGCCTCAGGAACCAGGGAAAGCCATCCTCACACTCCCTGGATCCAGGGAACCCACGCCCAGGGCCCCCCAGCTGGTTCCCTCAGTGCCCAGCTCTTGGCTATTTATTCCACTTCATTCCATGGCCCAGATACCACTACCACATACACATTCCACCCATACCCCCAGGTCTCAGCCTGCCCTACCTTCCCAGGCTCCAGTCCCTGCTCCTCAGCATCCCCCTCCACATCCTGAGTAAACTTTGTCCCCAGATAACCTCTTGAGCATGATCCTTAAATCTCCCTGAGCCTCAGTTTCTCCCGTGTGGAATGGGGGTAAGAATCTTTCTCTCAATGCCGCTGTGTTAGGAAGTAATTTAGAATACTTTGGAAACTGGAAAAGCTCTGTTCACACCTAAGGAATCAGGGCAGTGGCCCTGGCCCTGCCAGGAACTTTGTCTTTTATCTGGATCCTCTCTTTTCAGGCTTCTCAATTAATTCCCCAGGTCCTTAACCTTTGGGGAATTAGAAATGAGGAAGAGCGTCCCACTTCTGACACTGTGTTCCCTCTTGGAACCTGACCATCAATGCTAGAAGAACCCTTGGAAAACATGCTGGCCCAGCCCTCTAGTTTTACAAATAAGGGAGTGCCAGCCCTGACAGGTTATGTGGCCTGCCCAAGATCACATAGTCGATGGCAGAGTAAAGAGCATAGCCTAGGCCTCCCCACTCCTCTAGTAATGCTCTTTCATCTTCTCCAAATTGGCTGTAAGCCTTGTTCATCCTGAGCCCCGTATCTAGCCCAACCCAGTCCCTGGAAACAGGGAAGTGGCCCTTAGAAATCTCTCTCCAGTGCCACCATCAGAGGCCAACTGCTGTCTTCTACTCTCCTTCAGCCTGTGCTCCTCTCCCTCCCTGCCTGACAGGCAGAAGGTACTGTGTCTCTGGATATCCCCACTGTGCCCTGAGCTTCATCTCTTGCCGACTGCTTGAATACACCACAGTGACACTGTGTGTGTCTCCACCAGCAGATTATTGCTCCTTGATGCTTTGGGTCACCTCCATCTAGCATGGCATATATCTGGTGCTCAATAAATGTGTATTATACAGAATTGACTGAACTTGTCTTACTGGCAGCCCCCTCTATCCAAGTCACCTACCTCTTTTCGAAGGTGGAGAGAAGTATACCAACCAGGCCCTTAGCTGCTTATCCATAGATAGTTGCAACACATTTCTACCTATCTTCTGCTTCTCCTCTTGTACACACCCTTCCTAACCCCCAAGGGATACTGGGTACCTGAAGGGCTCTGCCAGGGGTTGCTGATCTTGTGCAATATGGTGCACAAGAAACTTTTAAGAAAAAAGAAACTTTCAAGACACTCTTTCTAACCACTAATCATATCTCTGCTCCTTTTCATAGCAATAGGTTTTCTTTTTCTTCCCTCCACACTTAAACATCCATTCTCTTCTCTCCCACCCCCATCAGACTCCTTCTCCAGTGTTTCCCCAGCCACTGCTCTGAACAAAATTTGAGTGATCAAAAGTGGTGTCAGACCCAGTGACCATTTATCTGCCTGCATCTCACCTGACCTTGAAGCAGCAATTAATTTCCATAATCAGCATCTTCTTGAATTTTTCACTTTGGGAACATTGCTCTTCTACTTTGTGCTCTGGTTATCCTTTACATGCTTTTACACCTCTCCTGAACTGGTTAACAGTGGAGGGCCCCAAGGCCCTCACGTAAGCTGTCTTCTTTTTTTGTGTTTTTTCTTTTTTTTTTAATTTTTTTTTTTTGAGACGGAGTCTCGCTCTGTCGCCCAGGCTGGAGTACAGTGGCGCAATCTCAGCTCACTGCAAGTCTGCCTCCCGGGTTCACGCCATTCTCCTGCCTCAGCCTCCCGAGTAGCTGGGACTACAGGGGCCTGCCACCACGCTAGGCTAATTTTTTGTATTTTTAGTAGAGACTGGGTTTTACCTTGTTAGCCAGGATGATCTCCATCTCCTGACCTCGTGATCCGCCCGCCTTAGCCTCCCAAGTACTGGGATTACAGGCATGAGCCACTGCGCCCAGCCGTCTATTTTATTTTATATTTTATTTTTGAGACGGAGTCTTCCTCTGTCGCCAGGCTGGAGTGCAGTGGAGCGATCTTGGCTCATTGGAACCTCCACCTCCCAGGTTCAAGCGATTCTCCTGCCTCAGCCTCCCAAGTAGCTGAGAGTACAGGCATGTGCCACCACACCCAGCTAATTTTTTTGTATTTTTAGTTGAGACGGGGTTTCACCTTGTTAGCCAGGATAGTCTCGATCTCCTGACCTAGTGATCTGTCTGCCTCAGCCTCCCAAAGTGCTGGGATTACAGGCATGAGCCACCGTGCCTGGCCATCATTTTTTTTTTTAAACCGAGTCTTGCTCTGTCACCCAGGTTGGAGTGTAACGGTGTAATCTCGGCTCACTGCAACCTCCGCCTCCCAGGTTCAAGCGATTCTCCTGCCTCAGCCTCCGGAGTAGCTGGAACTACAGGTGCATGCCACCATACCCAGCTAGTTTTTGTATTTTTAGTAGAGACAGGGTTTCACCATGTTGTCCAGAGAACTCCTGACCTCAAATGATTTGCCCGCCTTGGCCTCCCAAAGTGCTGGGATTACAGGCGTGAGCCACCTCGCCCAGCGTAAGCCCTCTTTGCTACTTCCACTCTTTCTGTAGGTGGCCCCACTACTAAGGTCCATGGCTTTAAATACCATCTTTCTATGTGTTAAGGCATAACTCCAGCCTTGACCTCTCATGAGCGCCATCCAACTCAGCATATCTGCTTGGATGTCTGAGTATTTCAGATTCAACATGGCCACAACTGAACTTTTTTTTTTTTTTTAAGCGGAGTTTTGCTCTTGTTGCCCAGGCTGGAGTGCAATGGCGAGATCTTGGCTCACTGCAACTTCTGCCTCCAGGATTGAAGCGATTATCCTGCCTCACTCGCCTCCCGAGTAGATGGGATTACAGGCCCCACTACCTGTTTTTTTGTTTTTTTGTTTTTTTTTTTTTTTTGTATTTTTAGTAGAGACAGGGTGTTGCCATATTGGCCAGGCTGGTCTGCAAATCCTGACCTCAGGTGATCTGCCCGCCTCAGCTTCCCAAAGTGCTGGAATTACAGGTGTGAGTCACTGCGCACGGCCACATAACTGAGCTCTTGATTCCCACCTCAGCACCTTTTTTCCACTGTTCCCATCTCAATGGCACCTCCACTACCCATTTGCACATTCCAAAAGCTCAGGAACCATGGTGACTTCTCTTCCCATATCCAATACAACCAATCCTATCCTGAATTCCTCCACGTCGTACCACCTCCCCAGCTACCTAATTCCAGCCACCCCCTCTCCACAACCTCTAAATCAATCTTTCACTTTTCCCAGCAATCCATTCTCCACTCAGCAAAATGATGATAAAGCATGTCATATCAAGGCTCTGCCTCAATTTAATGGCTTCCCATTGTATTTAGAATCATCTCCAAGCTCTCAGAGACTACGGTTAGCTACAATCTGGCCCACCTTCTATTCCAGCCAAATTTCCTCACAGCACAAGGACATCTGTACCTGCTGTTTTCCAAGCACGAAACCCTCAGCCCCTATATCTAGTGCTGTCACCTAATTTCAGGTTTTAGCTCCACTCTCACCATTTCAGTGAGGACCTAATCCCCATCCCATTCTATCACATAGCCTTTTTTTTTTTTTTTTTTTTTTTTTTTTTTTTTGAGACAGGGTCTTGCTCTCTCACCCAGGCTGGAGTGCAGTGGTGTGATCTGGGCTCACTGCAACCTTCCACCTCCTGGGTTCAAGCGATTCTCCTGCCTCAGCTTCCTGAATAGCTGGGATTACAGGTGCCTGCCACCACGCCTGTCTAAGTTTTATATTTTTAGTAGAGACGGGTTTTGCCATGTTAGCCAGGCTGGTCTCCAACTCCTGACCTCAAGTGATCCACCTGCCTCAGCCTCCCACAGTGCTGGATTTACAGGCATGAGCCACTTCTCCCAGCCACACAGCCATGTTTTGAGCATATATCACTATCTAAAATTATTTTTTGTTTATACGTTTGTGTCGTCCTATAGAATGTAAGGGCACAAGATCAGGGACTTGCTCATTGAACTGGGTCTAACACACAGTACTTCCTCAACAAACACTCGTTAAGATACTAACATGGCAGAGTGGGGCCTTGTAAACAGTTTCAGGACCCTGTGCTTGTAGGAGCAACGTGGTGCCCTACAAGGAAGACAGGGAGGATGCAGGAGCACTGCCCAGAGATGGCGTCAGGCTGCAAGACTTCTTGAATAATTCACCACCATAACAACCCAGCCTCAGGAAGGGCTAGGGCATGGCCAGGACGAAACATTAGGTAGGAGGCGGTGGACACTGGGATTCCCACGGGGCAGCTTCTGGGCACTGGACATTCTCTAACCTGAGGCTCTCTAAAGAGGAAGGTCAGGAATCCCTCTGAGCTTCGGTGGGCTAGACTCGCTGTGGGATTTCAATCGCCCCCCGCCACCGCCGTCCACTAAGGGTGTGTTGGCGGGAAAGCGATGAGACGCATGCGTAGTTACCGCGTCCGGTACCCTCTCCCTTTCCAAATACGCTTGCGCCCCATCTGGGCTACGGTTGGTCAGCGAGAGTTGTCCGTCTTCAAGCGAACCAATGAGACTTGTGGGCAGGCTCTGAGTCCCGCCTCTGGACAAGTGACTGTCTCTTCTCTGAGTGAGACCCCACCCGGCCTCCCCAGGGCTGCTTTTCTCCAGGCTGCGGGTGGTGGGGCTGCATCCTGGCTTCCGTCCCTATTGTGCTGGGCCCCAGTCTCCAGTCCCGCCCACGCGCTTTTGGAGGCTGCGGTGGGATTTTCTTTTGCCTCCGATTGGGGCTGCTGTTTCTCTTCGCCGACAGTAGGCGTTATAAATATTTCGCCCTTTGAATGTTAGCTTTCCCCTCCCAGCGTTCCACTTAGCCTTTTTCATCATTAGCATTATTATTATTATTATTTTTTTTTTTTTTTTGAGACGGAGTCTCGCTCTGTCGCCCAGGCTGGAGTGCAGTGGCCAGATCTCAGCTCACTGCAAGCTCCGCCTCCCGGGTTCCCGCCATTCTCCTGCCTCAGCCTCCCGAGTAGCTGGGACCACAGGCGCCGCCACCTCGCCCGGCTAATTTTTTGTGTTTTTAGTAGAGACGGGGTTTCGCCGTGTTAGCCAGGATGGTCTCGATCTCCTGACCTTGTGATCCGCCCGTCTCGGCCTCCCAAAGTGCTGGGATTACAGGCTTGAGCCACCGCGCCTGGCCTCATTAGCATTATTTTTAATGGTAAGGATGGTCAAATTTTACTAATGAAGAGATCATAAAATCTTCAAGTCTTTGTGTCCACTTGCTTTTTGAGGGGTGGAGTGGGAAAAAAGTTATATAATTCATGCATTCTTCGGACATGTGACAAACGTTCGCGGAGCGCGGCGATGAGCCCCGGGGTCGGGATGTGCACTGGGGCTGCACGTGGGAGCCAGGACGGACTGGACTGGTCCCTACCCAGCCCGCTGACGATTGGCAGGCCACTGCCTTTCATGAACTGGGCTCTGTAACTGCCATTAAGCCGTTTGTACAATTAATCACCACAGTGATAAGTGCGACAAAGGAGCTACTCGGGTGGCTGAGGCGGGAGGATCTTTTGAGCCCAGGAGTTCGAGATCGGGCTGGGGAATAGAGCAAGATCCTGTCTCAAAAAAAAAGGGGGGGCCGGGCGCGGTGGCTCAAGCCTGTAATCCCAGCACTTTGGGAGGCCGAGACAGGCGGATCACGAGGTCAGGAGTTCGAGACCATCCTGGCTAACCCGGTGAAACCCCGTCTTTACTAAAAAATACAAAAAACTAGCCGGGTGAGGTGGCGGGCGCCTGTAGGCCTGTGGTCCCAGCTACTCGGGAGGCCGAGCCAGGAGAATGGCGTAAACCCGGGAGGCAGAGCTTGCAGTGAGCTAAGATCCGGCCACTGCACTCCAGCCTGGGCGACAGAGCCAGACTCCATCAAAAAAAAAAAAAAAAAGGGGGGGGGAGTAAAACTGACAAGATGTGAGGGCTATGCGTTTGTGTTAGAGATGTGTGGGGTGGGGAGGTGGCCGGGGGCGAGGTTGTTCTTAGAGAAAGTGACATCGGGGTAATTCTGAAAGAATAAGTGTTAACTAGGCTAAGCGGTGGGGAAGAGTGGTGTGTGCTGAAGGAAGGGAAGAAGAACCTGGCAAGTTCATGGCAGTCTGTAATTGGATGTTGGTCTCCCTCCACACTTGCCTCCTACAGTCTGATTTCTACACAGCACCCAAAGTGATCTCTTAAAAATACACATCTGATCTTGTCACTTCCCAGCACCAAGTCTACAGTGAATTTCCATCTTAGAACAAAATTCAGACTCCTTACCATGGCCACCAATAAGGAAGGAGACCACTACTGCTCCTGCTGCCCTCCTCCCGCCACCTTGCCTCGTTCAAAGACAGGAGAAAAGAGAGAGAAACAAAAGTAAGATAAATAGCCAGACAACCTTGGCACCACCACCTGGCCCTAGGAGTTAAACAAAGTAATAATAATAACATCAACCCCGGCCTAAAGTACTTATGTTATCTGTAAATTCCAGACACTGTATGAAAAAATCATTGTAAAACTTTTTGTTTTGTTAGCTGATGCATGTAGCCCCCAGTCACGTTTCCCATGCTTGCTCGGTTTATCACCACCCTTTCAAGTGGACCCCTTAAAGTTGTAAGCCTTTAAAAAGGCCAAGTATTTCTTTCTCGGGGAGCTCAGATCTTAAGACGCGAGTCTGCCCACACTCCCGGCCGAAAAAAAACCTCTTCCTTCTTTAATCCGGTGTCTGAGGAGTTTTGTCTGTGGCTCATCCTGCTACACCAAGACCCTACACAATCTGGCCTCCCAATTTCCTTCTCCAGGGTCACTTTTTACCACTATCCATCTCACTCACACTGCTCCAGAACTCTCTATGCTTTCATTTTATTTTTCTTTCTTTCTTTCTTTTTTTTTTTTTTGAGACGAAGTCTTGCTCTGTCTCCCAGGTGGTGTGATCTCCGCTTACTGCAACCCAGAGCAATGGGGTGATCTTGCCTCACTGGAGTCTCCGCCTTCCAGGTTCCAGCAGTTATGCCTCAGCCTCCTGAGTTCCTGAGTAGCAGGGATTACAGGTGCGTGCCATCAGGCCCAGCTAATTTTTGTATTTTTAGTATAGAGATGTATTTATTTATTTATTTTGAGATGGAGTCTCGCTCTGTCACCCAGGCTGGAGTGCAGTGGCGCGATCTCGGCTTACTGCAAGCTCCACCTCCCAGTTCATGCCATTCTCCTGCCTCAGCCTCCCAAGTTAGTGGAACTACAAGCGCCCGCCACCACACCCGGCTGATTTTTTGTATTTTTAGTAGAGACGGGGTTTCACCATGTTAGCCAGGGTGGTCTCGATCTCCTGACCTTGTGATCCGCCCGCCGTGGCCTCCCAAAGTGCTGGCATTACAGGCGTGAACCACCACGCCCGGCCTTTAGTAGAGATTTCATAATGTTGTCCAGGCTGGTCTCGAACTCCTGACTTCAAATGATCTGCCCATCTCAACCTCCCAAAGTGCTGAGATTACAGGCAAGAGCCACCACACCTGGCTCAGTATTTGTTTTATTTTTGTTATATTTATTTATTTAGAGACAGGGTCTTGCTCTGTTGCTCAGGCTGGAGGGCTGTGGCAGGAACACAGCTCACTGCAGCCTCCACTACCTCAGCTCAAGCGATCTTCCCACCTCAGCTGAGACTACAGTTGTGCACCACCACGCCTCCCTAATTTTTTCGTTTTACCATGTTGGCCAGGTTTGTCTCGAACTCTTGGGCTCCTCTGTCCTCCTACTGAGAGACAGGACTAGCCGGATTTCCTAGGCTGACTAATCCCTAAGCCTAGTGGGGAAGGTGAGGGCATCCACCTTTAAACAGGGGGCTTGCAGCTTAGCCCACAACTGACCAATCAGAGAGCTCACTAAAATGTTAATTAGGCAAAAACAGGAGGTAAAGAAATAGCCAATCATCTATTGCCTGAGAGCACAGCAGGAGGGACAAGGATCGGGATATAAACCCAGGCATTCCAGCTGGCAGCGGCAACCCCCTTTGGGTTCCCTCCTGTTATATGGGAGTTCTGTTTTCATTCTATTTCACTCTTTTAAATCTTGCAACTGCACTCTTCTGGTCCGTGTTTTGTTATGGCTGGAGCTAAGCTTTCGCTCGCCATCCACCACTGCTGTTTGCCGCATTGCAGACCAGCCGCTGACTTCCATTCCTCTGGATCCAGCAGGGTGTCTGCTGTGCTCCTGATCCAGCGAGGCACCCATTGCCGCTCCCAATCAGGCTAAAGGCTTGCCATTGTTCCTCCTCAGCTAAGTGCCTGGGTTCGTCCTAATCGAGCTGAACACTAGTCACTGGGTTCCACTGTTCTCTTCTGTGACCCACGGCTTCTAATAGAGCTATAACACTCACTGCATGGCCCAAGATTCCATTCCTTGGAATCTGTGAAGCCAAGAACCCCAGGTCATAGAACACGGGCTTGCCACCATCTTGGAAGTAGCCCGCCGCCATTTTGGAAGTGGCCCACCACCATCTTGGGAGCTCTGGGAGCAAGGACCCCCTGGTAACAGTACCTTAGCCTCCCAAAGTGCTAGGATTATAGGCGTGAGCCACTGAGCCGAGTTCAGTATTTGAATCCATATTTCCTGTAGCCGCAACCAAAGTCCCTCTGTTAGGTCTCACTTCGACTATAATAATTGTGTTCAGGCTGGGCACACTGGCTCACGCCTGTAATCCCAGCACTTTGGGAGGCCGAGGCGGGTGAATCACCTAAGGTCAAATGTTTGAGACCAGCCTGACCAACACGGTGAAACCCTGACTCTACTAAAAATACAAAACATTATCTGGACATAGTGGCAGGCACCTGTAATCCCAGCTACTTGGGAGGCTGAGGCAGGAGAATTGCTTGAACCTGGGAGGAGGAGGTTGCAGTGAGCGGAGATCTCGTCATTGCACTCCAGCCTGAGCTACAGAGCGAGACTCTGTCTCAATAATTAATTAATTAATTAATTGTGTTCAGAGTCAGCATCATTCTTCCTGAAGTTCACCACTCCTTTGCCAGGAACACTCCCTGAAACACTGACAAGCAGGACCTTGAATAGTGGGGTATGGTTGGTAACAACTCATTCATTCAACAGACATTGAGCACCTATTTTGTGCTTGTCTCTAAATGAAGAGCTGGTTGTATTATTTATTTTTTTAGGTGACGGGGCTTTCCCTATGTTGCCCAGGTTCGTCTCAAACTCCTGGGCTCAAGAGATCCTCTCGCCTCATGCTCTCAAATGGTTGAATATACAGTCTCCAGCGACCATGCCTGGCTGAATGAAGAGCTTTGAGATTTCAAAGAAACGGGAACCATGAAATTTGCTTTGCAACTGTTTACAACCTTCAAGGAAGACTGAAAAGGCATTCCTGAAGCATATGAGAGGCCGCCTGTATGACCTGATGACTCAGAACGCTTGGAATTTAGATTAGGACAGATATGAACTTAGGCTTCACTCTGTCACATATTTAACTTCTCTAAGTCTTAGTTTTCTTATCTGTAATGTAGAGTTGTCAGGCTAATGCATGTAACAAGCACGCATGAAAGATGGACTATTATCTTGCAAAAAATTAGAAGAGAGCATAAGAGGTACAAGGACCTTCCATCTGCAATGGGCTGTACAGTGAATGCTGTGGTTACTGTTGAAGCATTGGTAAATCACATGAATCCAATGGGAAGACCTAAGGTCACCCTAAGGTCAGACTCGGTGGCTCACGCCTGTAATTCCAGCACTTCGGGAAACCAAGGCAAGAAGATTGCTTGAGCTCAGGAGTTCGAGACCAGTCTAGGCAACCTGTTTCTACAAAAAGTTAGAAAATTAGCTTGGTGTGGTGGTGCGCACTTCTGGTCCCAGCTACTCAGGAGGCTAAGGTGGGAGGATCCCTTGAGCCCAGGTGGTCGAGGCTACAGTGAGCCAGGATCACACCATTGCATTCCAGCCTGGATGATAGTGTGAGGCCCTGTCTTAAAAAAGACAAAAACAAACCAAAAAAATCCACATCCTAGTGGGTAAGGGGCAGCAGAGGTCCCACCCAAGAGTGAAATCATTTTTGGTGTCAGTAATCAGAGAGCGTAATATACCCTCAGGCCAGAAACTAGAGCTGAGTGATGGCTCACGCCTATAATCCCAGCACCTTGGGAGGCGGAGGCAGGTGGATTGCTTGACCTCAGGAATTCGAGACCAGCCTGGGCAACATAGCAAGACCCCATCTCTAAAAAAAATTCAAAAATTAGTTTGGCATGGTGGCATGTGCCTGTAGTCCCAGCTACTATGGAGGCTGAGGTGGGAGGATCAATTGAGCCTAAGAGGTCAAGGCTGCAGTGAACTGTGATTGTGCCAAGACCCTGTCTTTAAAATAAAATAATATAACATAACTAGAGCTGAAAAGACAGGTTCTAGGTTAACCGGTAGTAGTTGTTCATTCATTCATCTG